ATCAGATGAAATTGAAATACATAGTAATTTATTGTAGTTGATTTATTCTATGATTGGATTTGAGTAAATTTTTTTTATGATTTATTATGATTTGTAAAAGCATTGGTAGTAAATGAATCTTGTATTATTTTTGGTTGTGATTGATCTTAGTATGGAGTTTACTTTGGTGTTTTTGCCTTCTTTCTTTTTTTGAGTTTTTTTTTGTGTGGTGTTTAACTTGTAGTTTTTCAGGGAATTGTATTTTTGTTTATTAGTTTGTTCTTGAAGTTTGATTATTTGCAATATTCAATGTTTGTGTGGTTTGGGTGTAGCAGAGTCTTATTGTTAGTAGGTTTTTGCTTAGTTGGGTGGTGAAAATAAAGTTTTTGTGATTATTTGATGAAGCTACTTTTAATGAAGATTTTTAAGTTATTTGTTAATTTGTGGTGCTTCAAGAAAATCATATAACTCTTTCCCAACTATAATGGGCAAGTTGGAAACTCTCTGGATTGATCAGTTACAGCCTATATATATATATAATTTAACTGGGTAATTCTTATGTTTTGGCTCAGTGCTAGATGTTGCATTTGGTCTAATAGTAGATGAAAAGTTTTTCTTATGTTATTATGTACAGCCCTGGTGTGTCTTGTATTAAACTGTATTAAGTTCTATTTTTATAGTAACTTCATTATCTAATTGTTAGAGAAAGTTTCTATAATTTTTTGACTACTGTTAAATTTTTGTTTTGAAGAAGGATAAGGGGGAATTGCATAAAAGTCTTAGAAGCCCTTCTTTTTTTGCTGTAAAACTTTAATCGACAGCGTCACATGTTCATGTTCCTTACTGTTTCAAATGCTCTCTTAATGTTTCTGATAGTTGCTGTCACTCTTCACTTATGTTTGTCTTTGCTTGATTATCAAACTTAATTCACATAGCTCCCTGTTCTACACGAAGGTCTTTTTCGATTGTCGTTCATTGCATTTCAATTGATCCTTTATCTCTCTTGGTTTTTATTTATGATCATATTACTTCTTCTTTGTTACTCCTTGGTAACTGTCTCTTCTTTTAAATTTTCCTTTCTGATTCTTTGCTTTTATTACATTTTAAACTAAAACATCTTAATGGTAAAAACCTCATCTAGTATTGTAATTCAGTTGGCAAAACCACTGGTTCTTTGAATGAAGGCAATCTTAGATGTTCCATCCTTTTATCATTCTTTCTATAATGCTCATGATATTTCTTCCTTTGTGGGAGTGCATTTTTCATTAATGTTATTTGCAGCATTTTGGGATAGCAAATTGTTATTTAAAAAAAACGGTAGAGAGAAATTGACAATTGTTAGGTGTTTTGCAATTACAACATGAAGCATTTTTTACTTTATTATTTCCTATTACCTTAGGACTGCTACATTGTTATTTTTATGAATTATTATGCAGGTTGTAAGAGGTGGCCACCTCTTAAGATTGGTGATGTTATACCTCTTAAGATTGGTGATCAGGTGAGTGTAGCCTATTTAAGTGGGTTTGATTTGTCGGACATACAAATTTGTTTTTATGAATCCACTATTGTAACTGTAGATATTACTTCTTATGAACACGAGAAAAAATAGGTTGTTACCTTTCCATTTTTCCCAGGTCCCAGCAGATGGAATCATAATTTCTGGTCATTCTCTTGCCATCGATGAATCTAGCATGACTGGGGAAAGCAAGATTGTAAGTTATTTAGATCTTGTTATGAAATATATGTAAGACTATGTTGGTAAAGTACCATTTTTGCTGAAACTATGCTGGTAAAGTACCTACGCATGTAATTACTCATATTTATAATCACCTAATTTCAAATTCAACCCAGTGGGATTCATTGTATGTCTTTACTCATTTCAGCTGTGCTCTAGCAACAATGAATTGTACTCTCCTTCACAAGCTCTGGTCAGGACCCATATGGTGTGGAAGAAGGACAAGAAGAGAATCAGGAGAGTGAGGTGCACCTGCTATTTCCCTTCCCACTGCAGGCATGTTGGTTCTTTCTGCTTCCTTCTTTGTCCCCACATGGGTATGTTTTTGTTTTTTCTCATACTGCTCTGATTAGAACAGAGTAAAAGACATGAAATTGCTGCAGCATGAATTAATACAGCATCTCACTTTCTCATTATATGTAAGAGAAATGTTAAAACCCACAATTTAGATTGCTAAATTCACCCATAATAATGTGGGAAGGGAGTGGAGCCTTACATAGTTGAATTTGTTACAAATAAAAAATTGACACCTAGCATGCCATGTCATTGTAGGTCAAATTAGCAGAGAAATCAAGGGGTTGAATCCAGGAATACATAACTGCCAGAATAGATACAAGGAATGTACAATCAAAGCCCATGTTTGTTGAATAAAATTGCTAATTAGGGGCTGTCTTCAAGCATATGCAGCTGTATCTCTAACACGCTCCTTCAAGTTTGGACCATGAATTCTATCCCGGACAACATGACAATCAATTTTAATGTGTTTGGTATGTTGAGGGAAGAGATGTCCAAACAGGCCCTAAGTTGTTGATAATTCATATTGCTTGTAATCTATAATACTCTTCCTCTTAAAGTTTAGTTTTTTAGGTGGCTTGCTTGGAAGAATAAGGTCAAAACTGTAGTGTTCTTGCAGAGAATTGGAGTCCTTAATGGCAATGCATCTACACTTTGTGGTTTGTCCAAGAATGAGGAGGAATCATCACTTCACGTGCTACAGCATTGTCCCTTTGTTTGGAGGGTGTGTCTGCCATTTTGAGTTGGTGGAGTTCACAATGGGCTATCCGTAGTGTGTGTGTGTTGGGTGGGGGGAGCCATCCTAACAATAACTCTTTGGTCCTTGTGGAACCTCAGAAACGAATGTATATTTAAGAATGCAGCACCAGAATTGTATATTTTACACTCCAATTTTATTTACTAATATTAGGATTGATTATCAGGTTGATATTTTGTATTACATATGTCGAATGGAGGGAATATATTTTGTATTACATATTTTGTATTACATATTTATTGAGGTTGGAATAGACTTGGGTCGTATGGAATTTGTATTACATATGTGGAATGGAATGGAATTGGATGTCGAATGGAATTTTTGGCATGCACATTGTTGATGGTTGATAATATATATTTAGTATTGATGGATTTTATTGTTTATACATTGTATAGGTTGTACTAATAATGGATACAGGTGGTTCAGAAATTTAAAAAAAAAAAAAAATTCTAATATAGCATTTGGCTACTAACTATTTTGGTAGCCAAAAATTATTTTCAAATGTTTTGGCCACTAATAATGTAGTAGCAAAATGAATAAAAGTTGGCAACCTTTGGTGACTAAATGCCATGGTCGGCAAATAGTTCAATTAGCGACTAAAACTTTAGTCTCTAAATAGTTCAAATTAGTTTTGTTATAACTTTCGGTGACTAATATTTTGGTCGCCAAAAATATCACTTTTGCCGACTAACCCAACTTTAGTAGCCAAACGTTGACGTTTGGCGACCAATGATTTAGTAGCTAAAAATTACCTTTTCAGCGACTATTTTTTTAGTCGCCAAAGGGTAACATTTGCCGACTACACAGATTAGTAGCCAAATGTTGCATTTTCAGCGACCAAACTCGTGTTTAGTCGCTAAAACATTCGCCGACAGGGTTTAGGCGACTAAGTTGGCGACAAAAAAATTTAGTCGCTAATTGGTTTTGGCGACTAAAAAAGTGACCTTTGGCGACTAAGATTTTGGTCGGCGAAAGTCTAATTTCTTGTAGTGATGTTTACTAAAGTATTTTAGTTTTTAGAATCTGTCTGAATTTTTTTTGAAAATAATAGCATTGGCAGTGTGCATTTGTTAAATAACTAGGAATACATTATTTTAGATAATGTTTGTGTTCTAAAACCAATTCAACAATTTTTTTTTAAAGATAATGAAAATATTATCTCAAAGTCTATCTCCTTTTCTAATACTAGTGAGTCAATTTATTTTGAAATGTGACTACAAGAACGGTGCCTACATGAAATTTACATGCCTGTCATGCTCTAATGGTTTCCAATAAATTATAATTAATTTTTCAATTCTTGATGTTTGCAGGCATTGCAGTAATTTTTGAATTCAGAAAAATCTCTTCCCTTTCCTAATGGCATCCTTATAAATGGGAAAACTCAATCTACCTTTAGTGGTGATCAAGGTCCGCCCCATCATTTTTATTATTGGAAAATGTTTAAACAATTTCCAAGTATTTTAATCATGTCGGAAAAGAGAAAGAAGGACTTGATTAATATTGGTTCACTTTCTTTTGCTTTTCAGGAAAAATCTAAATGTTCAGGATTTCAAATGTGGGCTTGTCGACCTCCATTAACTTTTCAAACGTTCACTATCATCCTTAGAGTTTATACGAATATAATGGTTTTTGTATAATTCTCTATTTTGTATGGAATTATTATTTTAGATTAGAATATACTTAGTTTAAATGAAATTTGACATTAAAAATTATTTCTTTTTGGATGATTGGAAGCGAAATAGATGTAAATTGTGAAATGATTAATAATATATGTATTCCTAATAAATTTTTAACGAGCCTAACAATCTTATCCACAACTAAGTAACCATTTGATAAAAAAGAAATTTGGGTAATTTACCAAACCCATGTTTAATTTTGGGGAAATAACATATCAATTGAAAAATGAAAAAAAATTACAAATTAATAGTAAATATTATAAATTTTCATTATTAAAATTATAAAATTTTTCATATATTTGTAATTATTTTTGGAAAAATTAGGCTGATTTGTAGTTTTCCTTTTAATTTTTGTAGGAGAAATGGGTTGATGACGTGGTGCTTGCGTCCAATCCCCAATGGGCTCCCCTCATCTCACCAACCTCCATTCCCTCTTTTTAATATCATTTTTGGTTTGGGGCTTTGACGAGTAAGAATCGGCGTTCTTGGACCCCCAACCCTTCCTCTCTCTCACCTTCATGCCACCACCACCACGAGTACAGATATCAATCACACTCATTCACCCTCCCGCCACGTGTCTCCATCCTCCATCGCTGATCTCCATATAAATCCAACGGCCACGTGCATCTCTCAACTAACACGCTCATCTATTTAAGCAATCAAAAATGGCTCACCAAAAACTCAGGAAATTCAACCCTTCAAAAGGCTTTGCAATTTCCTTTACCTCTTAGCTTAGCTTTTTGGATTCAACATATACATATACATACATACATTTAAGTTTTTTTTTTTTCTTTTTAAAATTTTAAAGCTTTCTAATCATTTTATTTTTTTTTTTTTCTTTTTAAAATTTTAAAGCTTTCTAATCATTTTATTCTGATCGCTAAAAATTTTTTCTTCTCTCGTATTTTGATCGTGTTGTCAATAGATTAATTTTTTTTTCACATTAATTTCCCTATGGAATTTCAAAATGGTACAAGTAATGGTCACACTTTATGTGGCCAAGACCCATTGAACTGGGTGATGGCAGCCGAGTCGCTAAAGGGTAGCCACTTCGAGGAGGTGAAGAAGATGGTAGCGGAGTATCGGAAGCCGGTGGTCCGGCTCGGAGGCGAGACCTTGACCATATCACAAGTGGCCGCGATAGCGACCGGTGTCAACACCGGGGTGAAGGTGGAGTTGGCGGAGGCGGCCCGGGCCGGCGTCAAGGCGAGCAGTGATTGGGTGATGGAGAGCATGAATAAGGGGACAGATAGCTATGGGGTGACAACTGGATTTGGTGCAACTTCACATAGAAGGACCAAAGAGGGTGGTGCTCTGCAGAAGGAACTCATTAGGTAAGAAATCAAACTATCTTGTTTTGCTTATTTTTCTTCATTAATTATTATCTTTTTATAGATTTGCATAGGCTGTTTTCCAATTAAAGATGGTATAGGTCATTAGGTGGTTTCTTTTAAAGATCTTCCAGCTCTATGATTTGGCGGAGAGTAATCAATAATATTAATTGAATCTAGAGAGACGAGTTATTATCATGTAGTTTTTGAAATACATCTGGTAAAGTTTATATGGTATTTTATATAATTCATGTAATGAAAAAATTTAGAAGTGATACATGGGGATTTACGTTTATTTAACAGTTGTGTGATATAAATAATCATTCAGGTACTTTGTATTCAGACTGAAATAATAACTTACAAAAAAAGACTCACTTAGGGAATATTTGTTTGATTCGAACAAAAATAAGGGAATTTGCACTAATAAATGCATTAAACTTGCTTTTTCTTTTTCTTTTTTTGAATAAAAAATATATGTATTAAATGTGGTAGGTACTAATTTATCTTAGATTGATATTTAAAGGAAGTTTTTCTATTAAAAAAATTATTAAAATAGAAAAAGTAGGTTAAATTGTTGTTTTTATTTTTATTTTTTATAAATAGAATATAGGTCATTAAAATATATGTATTAAATGTGGTAGGTACTAATTTATCTTAGATTGATATTTAAAGGAAGTTTTTCTATTAAAAAAATTATTAAAATAGAAAAAGTAGGTTAAATTGTTGTTTTTATTTTTTTTTTATAAATAGGGGTGTTATCACTGACAGTGTTTGGCAGTATGTCAGAAGTCTTCTTAATTGGGGAAATTATAAAAATAAAATAAAACTTACAAAAAAAAAGTACAAACATATGAAAAAGTATAGTATTTCAATTATTAAAATGCATAATTTTTTCATGTTTCTGTAATTTGTTTTTGTTGCACGGCCTCGTTTGTCAATATCACTTTTTAATCAAAAAGTTAAAAAAATTGTTAAAAAAATAAAAAAACCAATAACTTATATTAAAAAGTTAAAAATTTCATTTTCTTTCTACTTTTTGCACATTTTTCGTAAATTTTTTTAAAAAAAATCATCCCAAATATATTAGTTTTTTTTACATCATATTTTAGCTAAAAAAAAAAAAAAAAAAGAGAAGACTTTTTAGTCTAAAAAGACAAAACATCACATCTAATCCATAATCATTACGTTTTTTCCTTACAAAAGTTAAAAAGGTCAAAAAATTCATAATAATAATTATTATGAGGTTCAAACTTTTAGAGGTGGTAAATGTTAATGTTAAAATACAAATCACACTCTTCCCCATTTCAAAATAAAAAAATTACAGACCACACTAAATCCTTTTTTTATTATTATTATAATTAACGATAAGCCAAAAAAATTTGGAAAAAAAAAAAACAAAAAAACAAACAGACAAACAAACATTTATACTATTAATTAGAACATCATGGTATTTACTAAATATTTCATAATTATGTAAATATGACATTCCAACCACCAACATTTAAAAAAAAATCAAATTATTAAATGATTACTATTAATTCTTCTAAAAGTTTAAATAGTTATAAAGGTAGATACTTTTTCGGTAGTAGTACATGTATCAATTGATATATCAATTAGTGTATTAATATATGTTATGACATTACTATTTTAAAATTATGATCCCACTTATTATACAAATTACAAAGACCTCATACTTTTAAAATTATGTGACATTATCTATTAATATATTAATTAATACATATAATATTATTATTTTATTATTTATATCACTAACACACCCCAACACTTCTTTTTTTATGACGGAGAATCCAACTAATTTGTACCTAGTTGAAAACCTTGTGATTAAATTCCGAATATGCTCTGATACTTAAACTAAGTATTTTAGATTTTAAATTTTTTAACCTTTAAATAAATAAATAAAAACTTAGGAGGAGAGAGGAACAAGCTTGTTTGGTTTCAGTTTTCAGAAAATAATTTTCAAAAAATTTTATTTTTTATTTTTTGTATTTTAATGTTTTCAATGATTTTTTTTTAATACTTTAAGCAATTGTTTTTAATTTTTAGACACACCTAACATAAATATATTTTAAAAGCATAATATTTGTGAAAAAAATCTTTAAAAAATACACAAAATACCAAAAAATATAAAAAAATTACAAATATTCAGTTCATTTTTCATATTTTTGTGTATTTATTAGATTTTAAAAATATTTTTTCATAAATATTTTACTATTTAGATACATCTAAGTAAGGTGTATCTAAAAAAGTAAAAAAAAAAAAAACTTAAAATTTAAAAAATACTCACTAAAAACAAAAAAAAAATAAAATATTCAGTTTTCATAAAATTGAATTCAGCAAACTGACACCAAACACACTGATTTGTATTAGATATGGGCTGTCAAATCCATCATTGTATGCCCAATAAATAATAGCCGCCTTCATAGGACGGAGTCTGGTCCAATAAATGGATGAATAGGCCCATTTAAACTTGTACTAGGCCCGACAGTTGCCCAAGTCCTAGGCCACACACTAAAATAAAAGTCAGTGTTTGGGCCCACATTTGATTGGGAATCACAAAGAATATATGAAAAAACAAAATTCACTTCCTCTCAAAAACAAGTAAATAAATAAAATTCACTTTGACCAAAAATAATACTACAAACATAATTTTGTACAAAATTTTCACTGAATTGTGTGACATTTTGTAATTCTTTCATTTTTAAATCAAAATACTCACTGTTAACAGGTTATAATTTTAAAAATACCACTTTCATTCATTTTAATGATTTAAAGGGATTTAAAAATACTACTTTTATATGAATTTTCTTTCATTTTTTCTTCTTCTTTCTTTTTTTTTTT